TTTTCTTTATATATATATATATATATATATACTCTTTAACCTAAATATGAGCAGGTCACTTACCGTATGCTGGGAATGGATAGATGTATTCTAGCTCTATACCCTGCTTCGTGGCGTGGTCATCAAACTTCCTGTAGATGTCATTCGTTGCTGTTGTCTTCCGTCCTGTGAGCAAAAATGTTGTGTTTTTTTTTAAGTGACACTAAACTCAGCAGTTAAATCTTAAAAATGCATTCAAGAACCCTAACTATTAACAAAAATGTATCTTATTTGTATATCACTCGGCTGTAGATCCTCAAATCATCTCTGAATTGGTGCTGACACTGTCCTTCTTTCTGGAGGGTGGCTACTATTGTTCCCCATAGTCCGTGTGTGTGTTGTAAAGTACTCACCGAGCCAAGCTCGCTCCTGTGATGAACTTCAATCTCATGTTTAGTTTACTCATTTGTATTGAGATTGTAGTCTTGGGTAATTTTGGGAGCAAGCTTGGCTGCCACAAAGGTTTGCACCTCATCATGTTTAGGAGTGCTGGTAATTTCTTTCATTTGGATTTATACAGTGCCATTGTTGGTACCCTTCCATACTTACTTGGGGTGACAGTGTGGTACAGTATGTTAGTTTCTTTGTCTACGACTGTCGTCAGCACCTACAAAATATTTATGCTTTGCACCTCTGGAAAGTTGATGACAGTGGAAAGTTGATGACAATAAATCTATTTATTGCTATTTTTGTCCCAGGATAGGTGCTTAGTTAGATCAGTGTTAGGGATCACATGCCACAGAAGGGCCTTGACCAGGCAGTGTGGTTTTCACATAGATTTGCAAATATAAGCTACTAACACCTCAGCTTTTAATACATAGGCGACTATATATAACAAACTCACAGAGCCTTTTGCCCTACAAATCCTTCTGAATATTTATTCTGTGCTAATAGACACACAAACCAACATTCTTAGATATGTTTTCTTTTCAGGTTAAATGTTTGTAACGTATTGCTGCATTTTGGCCACTATATGGAGATGATGATCATAGAAAAAACATTTTTTTTCCTATGCCCCTCAGATAGATTCATAGGATGAGTGGTCTATGAATTGGTTATAAATAGACCCCATAGTGTTTAAAAAGTGCTGACTGTTTCCTTAATTTAACAGTACAAACCTGACAGGGGTTCTAATCCTTCCAACACTCTATGCAAAACTAAAGAAAAAGGTTTTGGTTGGACATTCACTTTATTACAAGTGCAAGTTTAGAGTGCAGAACAAGTAGAGTTATTTGTTAGTATAGAAAGTGTAAATAATTAGAAAAACATATTCTATTACCCTAGAATTGTAAAGGTCACGTAAAATGGGCACATAACATAATCTACTGCCGTTCACTCACTGATGATCAGTCTGATAACATTTTTTTTTAAACTTCTTACAAGCATCCATTGTATGGACAACCTAGTGGTTGGGAAAATTTTATGCCAGTTGCATGCACTTGACCTATATAATGAGCAATCAGAGGTTTGACAGTGGTAATATACTGACACCAGGACAAGGTAATATCGTAGCAGGACCAGAGAGCAAGAGATGAGGATTATCCCTGGAAGTCCAGCTGACTTTATCTGGTTTGCCTAGACATTCAAACCAGTTGGCCATAAAAAAACGTCTATAAATATGCAGTTCTGGTACCATAGGGCAAAATGGGCTCATAAATTGCAGATTTTATCTGCTGAAAGGAAAAGCTAGAAATGTGGCACATCCAAAGGACACCTCTATGACACGTAATCTGAGATCACATGACCAGATGCCAGGATGTTGTAGTTTGATACTTAGTCACCTGATCAGATGCCATGGAAGCCTGGTGTATCAGTTTCTCCACGGTAGGTAATTACTATTTTACAATCTATGTATATAGTATGGCATATATAGACATTTAATACTATTTAGAGGTTTAATTATAAATATCAACCAAAGTCCTTAGTTCAGGGGTCATATGCATGCAGCCAGAGGATGATTGTATGTTCCAAATGCAGCTGTATAAATAAAAACCTTTGCTGCACCACAAGGATTCTGTCTCTTCGGGGGTTAAAGGAGTGACTCCTTTCCTGCACTCTGCATGAGCAGTGAATATACTATTACAAAGAGAACAAAAGTCATCTGTACTCTGCTTGCTGTGCCTCATAAGGTGATGGGTCAAGATGGAGTACACTATAGCTGTGTGCATAAAACCTGTGTTTGACAGATTGTAAAGCAAACCTGTCACTCATTTACATATTTTCTGTAAAAGGGCTGCCATCATTAACCACAAAACCCTTCGCTGTGTGCCTCTCTGAAACTAGCTTCACTTTGTGACTACGGGCTTGCCTTTCCTAACCTTAAACTAATCTCTACTATATGCCGTCCCTCCCCCTGTCCAATTATAGCACTTTAGTGGCCATTAAAGTGTATGTATGACCACATTTTGTTTTAGTTTTGGATTAGAATCCTTGTCGTGTTTATATTGTTGTCCTGACTAAGTAGAGTGTCCCTCTTTATTTGCCCTGGCGGCCATTGTCACCTGGATGGGAACTGATGGCAAATCAAAAGTTTTACAGTTGTTGCCAGAAAAAGAGGAAAAGGGAAGGTTTCCCACGGGGACACTTGTTTCAGTGACAACTAAGGATGAGCTCAGGTTCAAATTGAACGTGGTCTGAACCTGAGCTCCTGCAAATAAGCAAATGCCATGAACACTTCCACCCAATCAGCTGCAGGCTGGGCATTACCTGCACCACAGCTGTATGTAAACAAAGGGGTAGGATGCTTGTGCTGACATCATTACCTTATACAGTATGGCCACATAGCCATAATGGCAAATGTAGACATGAAGCCATTTAAGGTCAATGACGTCCTGCCCCTTTGCTTACATCAAGCTGCAGGCGGGAAATTCTCTGCCTGTAAGTGATTTGGAGGCACGAAAGGAGCTTCCTTCCTTGTAGGGAGAAGCTCCTTTTGGGTTTACTCTGAACCTGAGCTCATACCTAGTGACAACTGTGTAATAGAGGCATTCCCCTCATTTTGTAGAGGTTTCCTCACACTTCCTGTTGCATCTCTGGAACAGGAAGTAATGGGAATATACCCAATGGTACAGAATACACTAGACAATAGACAGCAAAATAAAAAAAACATCTAAAACTAAACAAAACAGTTTTGGCCATACATACACATTAAATTCACTCTTACTGGGCAGCGTGGAGGCATACTTAGCCCATAGGTCAGGAAATACATTCCTGGTGACAAAGTGAAGTAATATCAGAGAGGTGCACAGAGGAGGACTTTCTGGATAATAACAATGATAATTTTATGGGCTCTATGATTAAGACCAGGTGGTGAAACGCGTGAGGGGCACTGGCATGGTGTGGGAGATACTTATGGTGATATACATGCTGGTTATCATTCTTTTGGATTTGTTCTTTTGAAATCTGCTTGGATTTTTTAAAATACATTTTGCATTACACTTACCCTGGTTCCTGTGAGGCGGATCTTTTGGAGATTGACCTTGTTATGAATGCTGCTATTTGTATAAAGTTCCCATGTTAACGGTTTTCATCTAACACTAATAAATAATAATACTAAGTGAAATGCCATGGTCTAGATGTAGCTTTGTACATACTCACCATACAGTTTCAAGGTGATCTTGTTCCTCCGCTGATAATACAATATGGCGTAGTTCTGGTAGTCTGTCTCTGCTAGCACCACATCCACCTGCCCCAGGTACCCCTTTGCTGTGTATACAGAGATAAGCAGAGGTAAGGCAAACATCTGTAAAATCTTTTCATGCATATACAACACATATACATCTGTGCACCTGCTTATTCATACAACTATTCAATCAGCCAATCATGTGGCAGCAGCACAATCCATAAAACTATGCCTACTGGATTGTAAGCTCTCACGAGCAGGGCCCTTCCAGCCCTCCAGTTTTCAAATTGGATTGTAACTGTCACCCTTCATTTTGTAAAGCGTTGCCCGAATTTTTGCCATGATATAAATCCTGTATAATAATAATAATAATGCAGATCCAGGTCAGGAGCTTCAATGAATGTTCCCATCAAACACCCGAATGGGGGAAAATGTGATCTCCTGTCTGAAGGCACCATGAAGAAGACTTCCTACACATTTTATTTTATTCTGTTTAGCCATGTGACCCCTGTAGTGTGCTACCTTGTCTTTTATTCTGCAGCTACAAACACTGATGAAGGGGTACGGGTCGTCCCCCAAACGCATTTGCTACTCTCACTTTGGCTAATAAAATTCAACTGGATCTATTGAATTTAGTTGGGACTGTCACTTCTTCACTGTCCTTTCAGCAGACATGTCATACATAGGTATCACAAGTACCTACCTTTTAATATAAATCGACCCTTGATCTTCTTTGTCTCATAAGCATGTTTAATCTCCCAACAAATGCCGTCCCTGAAATAGAAATATTAAGAGTAATATATTGATCACGTGAAGGCCTGTCACCTGAACACATACAACAACACAGCAACCAATAATCGTATTTAAAGGAGAACTATGGGTTTAGGGCTTTTCCCCATAATTCTCCTAAGGGCCTGTTCACACGACGTCTGTTTTCTGTGCTGACCTGATCCGTACGCTCCTGCACTAAAAATGCATCCCAATGTATCCCTATGTGTTTTATGGGCTATAGTTCTCACGTCCGCAGTCCAGCTGGGTAGATTCATTCTCACTTCCTCTCCAGGTGTCAGTTGTCATTGGGAGAGAAAATGAGGGGAAGTCTCCCCAAAACCTAAAGGATTTTTTAAGCTTTCTTCAATCTAGCTAAAAATAAAATAAAATGATCAGCTACGGGTGCATGGTACCTTGCATAATGATCTTATCCATGCTCCTATACAGGTAATTCCTGGTCCGATATATTAATGTACAGTACATTTATTAGAGAGTGAACAGCCCATGTACTAGTAGGCACACACTCATTGTACTCATTGTAACCAGGTGTATGTGTTTGGTTCCTGGATCACAATCACGGTCTACTTACAGCTCTCTGAATGTGCTGATGGACAAGACTTCCACTCCTTGGTAGGTCTTGGAAGCGGATGCTTTGATTAGTGTGGCCTCCACACGATGGTTGTTGGTTTTCAGATAATTACACTCGGACGCAACAGACAGCAGATACCACTTCCCTGCAAACTGATCACACAGACAAATATAGTAAGAGAACTCTAAGACCATTAGAAGATCCCTTGTATATGAATGAATTAGAATATTCCCACATTCACTGGATCTTTCTGCCAGCTTTCGGCACCCAGCACACAACATGCAGGTTTTGGCACAAAATGACTTGTGTTTAGATGTGTTTACAGGCATATGCACTTGTGCTTGTTCTACTGGCTGGAATATTCAGTTATTCTGGCCACTAGAATGAATTTATTTGCATGCATGCACGCGTGTTTACACACAAACTATGCCACTATGTTTTTCTTGGGGGGGTTTTAAGAACTCCTTGGAAAAATGTTATTTACCCTCACAGTGGGGCTACCCCTGCACGTTAACTGCTCGTTTGTGTCTAGGTGCTGAAAAAAAAGTTATACTCACATGATCCTCGGAGTCCAGGGTGTCCAGCCAGCGGGCATCCAGACACAAGGCACTCAGTGCACTTAACATTTTCTGACAGATGCGCAGCCTGTGCCTGTTTACAGGTGCCCGCAGCTCAGAGGAAGGTCCAGTTTTAGGCAGAGATAGTGCTTGCCGAGGAGCTCGGCAGCTGCATCTGTCATTGCCTTCTCCTCCTTCCCTGGCTCCCTGACACCGTGCTGCCCACCTGCGGACACCTGGTGAGAGAGACACCATAGCCCAGCTGAGAGTTGCACAGGCCACCTGTGAGACACACAGCCCACCTGAGAGTCGCACAGCCCACCTGAGAGTCGCACAGCCCACCTGAGAGTCCCACAGCCCACCTGAGAGTCGCACAGCCCACCTGAGAGTCGCACAGCCCACCTGAGAGTCACATAGGCCACCTGAGAGGCGCACAGCTCAACTGAGAGTCACAAAGCCCATCTGAGAGTTGCATAGCTCAACTGAGAGTCACATAGCCCACCTAAGAGTCACAAAGCCCACCTGAGAGTCGCATAGCTCAACTGAGAGTCACATAGCCCACCTGGCACCAACCTAGAACAACACAGAGTACGTAGCTTCATATTATTTTGTATTGCTGTAGTCCTCTATAGTCAGTCTCCTTACTCACTATCCTGGCTGTCTCTCCTTACTCTCTCTCCTGGCTGCCTCTCCTTGCTCTCTCCTCTATATTAACCACACACAAAAATTGGCGTTCGCGACGCTAGAGTGTTCAGGTTTTACTTGAAGAAAAGGTGGCAACCCTATCCTACAGCCTACAGGGCCACCCATGTCCTAGCAAGCAATGATATTGTGCGACCCATACCGCTTCATAGGTTTTCATGTTGTGCCCATTTGTGTCCTAGCAGCCACCAGTCAACCAATGACGCTGTGCTTTGTTGATAGGATACAGACAGAGGTTTGGTGGGCTGGCAAGCTGGCCAAGTTGTTTGCCCCTTCGGTGATCTATGAACAGCTTGGATTTGCTTCAAACTCATGGTGGATCCAACCTGAAGCTCATCTTTGTTCACAACCTAGTGAGATTCTTCTCTGCCTAGGCCTTGTCAGAGTTTACACAGGGCTGAGTCCAACAACTGTTCAATTCAAACATCGGTAGTTCGTGTGTTCGGCGGGCTTTTCGCCCGCCGATCGCCCCACGATGCCCTGCACAGTGCCTTGTGAAGCCTTGATTGGGTAATACAATGCACCTGACCACAGGTTAGGTGCCAGACTTTGCCCAATCACGGGACAGTGCACTGTAAGAGCCATGATTGGGCAAAGTAATGATGACTTTGCCCAATCATGGCTCAAAGAGAAGTCCTGTCAGGTGCAGGACAGATGGGCGGAGCTAGCGTAGATATCACCGCTAACTCCGGCGAATTGTTTCTATTTTGCGGCATCTGTCAAAATGCCATTCTGCAGCGGAAGTTCGTCGTGAGTGGACGGGGCGGTGGATTAAAAAAAAATTATTGCTTTTTATTTAGTCGGTGTCATGGACAACGCTGGATGTCGTGATTGACCTTAGGATTAGGGGTTCCATGTTTTCTTTTTTAATTAAAGGACTTGTCAAAAATCCTTTGTTGTGTTTTGTTTTTTTCTTCAAATAAAGGATTTTTTCAAAAGTCTGGTCTTTTTATTTACAATTTATTTTAACCCTTTAGTGAATGGGTAGAGGTACAAGTACCAATTACTCATTGACAAGAGGGGGCGCATCTGGGTGCCCCTTTATTAAAGGGGTACCCCAATGTGAATAAGCCCCCCTGTCCGCACCCCCAAAACCAATGCCCCAGGGCTTGTGAGGAAGAGGCCCTTGTCCCCATCGGCAAGGGGACAAGGTGCTTTTCCAGAGGAAACCCTGGAAAAGCACCCTCCCAGTGCCGAGGGCATGTTGCCTGGTATGGCAGGGAGGGGGGCGCTCGCCCGTTTCCCCCTTTCCTGCCCTGCCAGGCCTGTACTCGGATCAAGGGTCTGATTAGGAATTTTAGGGGGGACCCCATTTGTTTACCCCCCATTTTTGGGGGTGGGGTTCCTCCTTAATATTTCTAAAAGACCTTAAGGGCCTGGTATGACTTTGAGGGGGAACCCCACGCACTTTTTTTGTTGTTGTTTTATTTAACCACTTGCTGACCGGGGTGTTCACACCCCCTTCCTGTCCAGGCCATTTTTCAGTATTTAGCGCTGCGGTACTTTGACTGACATTTATTCCATCATGCAACGCTGTACTGAAATGAATTTTATACCATTTTTGGGGGGCAGATAGAGCTTTTTTTTGGTGGTATTTAATCACCACTGGGGGTTTTAATTTTTTACTATATATTTTTACTATATAACAAAGAAAGTACCGATCATTTTTAAAAAACAAAAAAACGTTTTCCCTTTATTATGTTATGAAACATTTATTATTACCAAATTTTTTGGTAAAATTTTAAAGATGGGGTCACGTTGGGTAAATAGACACTAAACATGTCAAGCCTTAAAATTGCGCGCGCAAAATCGCAATAACAATTGGCCATAGGCGACGTTTTAAAAGATTTTACTGCTCATCAGTTTAGTGTCATCAGCGATTGATGAGCCTAAAATGATTGCTCTCACTTCGACGTTCGCGGTGATATGTAACATGTGCGGCGTAATTGGAGCAATCGTCGTTTTTGCGTGTAGGCGCACCTAACGCATTTTTGTGCATCTATGTGGGGGTGGGGGACTTTAAAACATTTTTGTGGGGGTTTTTTTTAGTGTGTGTACATTTTATTTATTTTGTGAGCAATTTTTTTTTTACACTTAACTTTATTGTTATCACATAGGGGGGCTAAGAAGTCCCCTACGTGATAACAAATTACAGTGACAGGTCCCCTTTATGGAGACATCAGGGGTCTCCAAGACCCTTGATGTCACCTAGGGACCCCCAGCGAAGCTGATGAAGCACAGATCTGCTTCATCAGCTTATCTCCGGTTACTGTACCGGAGAGTGACAGAGGAATGCGGAAGTGATGTAATATACATCACTTCCTGCATTCAGAGACCAGGAGGAGAGCGGAGGGGGATTGTGTACTAATCTCCCTCTGTTCTCAGTGCACAGAGCCACATTGCCCGGGATCGCGGGACGGCAGCGGCGAGGAGAGGTAAGGGGGGGAACCCTGACTTGCATCATACAAGCGATCGGGCGTCTGTACAGACGCCGGACCACTTGTATGTAAAATCCTGGAGGTTTCCCGCTCGTGCGCACTAGCGGGCACGGCACAAAGGACGTCTAAATACGCCCACCCGCATCCAGGAGACTCCCGTCCGGCTGTCTTTCAACGTTCAGGGGACGGGAGGTGGTTAAATGGGACCCTCCTTCCCACCAGACCTTAAGGATCTGGTATGACTTTTGGGGGAACCACACACTTTTTTTTTCTTTTTATTTAAATGCGGTCCCTTCTAACATTCCTATCAGACCTAAAGGGTCTGGTATTGTTTGAGAGGGGGAACCGCACGCTTTTTTTTCTCCTTTATAAAATGTCATTTTTGCTGCAGCAGGTTCTATACATTGTACAGATGCGCCACTTTACAGGCAGTTTAAGGGGACCCCCCAGGCACGATATTTAAAGAAATTTGTCATTTTTATTGTTTCGCTTTAAGCAATGTTAAAATCACTGTTCACTGTATTTTTTAAAAGTGTTTGCATTGATACATGTCCCCCGGGGCAGTCCCTGAATCCCCATACCCTTTTTATGGCCAATAACTTGCATATAAGCCTTCAAAAAGGGGACATTTGGTTTTCCGAGTTCTGGTCCCATAGACTTTCATTAAATTCGAAGTTCGAGTTTGAACTTTTTCCATGTTCTAAAGTTCGAACTCCAACCAAACTCAGGTGTGTGTGGATCATCACTAACAGACAGCACTATAATGCTGATCGACGTTAGCATACATGTAAAGGTGCCCATACACTGCACGATAATCGTACGGTAATCGTATGTGATCGGTTTTTCGTACGATAATCGAGCAGTGTGAACGGAGACGTGCGAGCGTTTCTACTGTACGGTCGCACGTCTTCTGTCGAACCAGCATGTTCGAAAACCAGCCGGGAATCGTACGATTCTCGGCTGGTTAGAACGGTGCTCGGAAGACAAATGCCGAACGGGCCGGTGTGCGCACGCGCACACTGCCCGTTCAGCATTGCGGTCATCGGAAGCCCGCCCCTCAGGGGGGCGGGCTTGCGATGATCGAGAGTGCGATCTGCCTGTCCAAGATAGGCAGATCGTACGTTTTTTTAATCCCTGTACAACCATCGCAAGACTAAGGTCTTGCGATGGTTGTAGAGTGTATGGCCACCTTAAAGGTGCCCATACACCTTCCGATTATCGGACGAAACTTTTCGTCCGATGATCGAATAGTTGTACAATTTTCGTACGACAGCCCCATCCTGCCCCGATGATCGCAAGATTAATTTAGCCGTAATTAACGAAAAGCACCTGGACGAAATGCGGTAATTGATTTGTCGTATTTTCGTTCGCGCATGCGCAGTGTAGATCGTACGACTTTTGACGGACGGAACCGCCAGCAACCTTACGACAATCGTACGATCGAGCAAAGTTTTCAAACATGCTTGACCGTCAAAAGTCGTACGATTGTACAGTAATGTCGGTTCGGGCACTCTATTCACACGTACGATTGTCGTTCGAAAAGTCGATCGCATACGATTATCGTCCGATAATCGTAAGGTGTATGGGCACCTTTACATTTTTGTGCGATCAAATTTAGATTTACTAAACTTTGCAATATGGGGACCTACCTACGCTAATCATTCAATCTATATCCAGATTGCTACATAGTTGTTGGTAGATTTAAAGAAACCTGTACAATCAGATTGTAATGTGTGTGGTGAGCTTTAAGGGTTTATTTTGGGGTTATGTTTGTACATGAAACATTACATTTATAAGTTTGAATGCTAGCTCATTAGAATCTGAAACCCAAATGTAATGGCTTGTGTGTTCCTCGTGGACTAATAAACCAGAGGGTCACAAAGAAGTGTAGTTCCAAAAAAACAGCCAGTCCGGTCTAGGAGCCAGAAGGTATTTTTCATGCCAAGGAACAGGCTTCAAATTCAACAAGTTGAAAAAAAAACCTGGGATCCAGTCAGATTAGCTACATTTCCTACCTGGATTCTGGGATTTTTCAAGCTGCGTTCTGACTACTACAATGTACACAAAAACATGTGTTGCTTACTTTGCTTTTTCATTTCTGCATTGTACACAGTCATTCTCAGATACTGGAGGTCGACTGTTGTCTCTACTATAAAGGACTGGGTTACCAAGCTATGCCTCCTGAAATGGATGGAAAACCTAACGGCCCACCTATCATATGCTCACCATAAATATGTTGCCTTGTGGAGCCCTTCAGACCCTTTCATGAATGCTTCGGCCTTCAGATCCCCCGTGTACACTTAGACCTGGGCAGATTTGCCTTGTTAGAATGGAGCCCGTTGACCCGTGGTGCAGAGCTGGATCTATACACTGGGCGTACCCCTTCCCCCCATCCCAGTTCCTTCCCCAGCCTACCATTTTTCTTCTAGAACTCTTGCTCTCTTCTAGTTCTCGCGAGTATGGCTGGATGGATAATACTTTCCCTGGTTACACACGTTGGTGTGGAACTTCTACTAGTTGTTGTTGTGCTTACTCTGGATCTGTATTGTGATGACCTATAGTATCTACTATACCATAACTGTATTTTTTTTTCTGTAAAATAAACTTTTATTCTTTAAAAAAGTTTGTTGCAGGAAAAAAGACAAACTAATTCACCAGCATCATGATTCCTATTTTCAAAAAAAGTAGCAGTAACATTCAGTGTAATCTAGTGAGATTTGAAAATTACAGTCAAATGGCTAAACTAACGATCCTTATCCTTGTGAATTGCCTATAACTTGTTCAGCCAGCACTCTTACCTTATTGATGTCAAAGTTAGTCACAGATTGTATTTTATCGATGGGGTTTTGTGGCGGTGGCTTCTTGTTCCGTTGCCCCCATGTCAAAGGGGCGCTGAGGATGACTAGAAGGAGGACAACTTTTGGGGGAAACATGACTCTCAGATGTCCCAACAAATACACTGAATGGTTTAGATGTAACAGTCCGAGCAGAGACTCTGTTGGGGGTGTATTGACTTTAGACAATGGCTGTTGTGTACATTGCTTGTGTTTGCTGGGCTGGTTGGGTAATCTTTATCTGCAGAGTTTGCTGGAATATGATAAGTCTGTTTTCATTAAAGATTGCTTTGTCCCTGGAAGTTCCAAAGGTTCATCTTTCAACAAGCCAATGTTGAGGGCCCATTCACACTATAGCGTTGCACTAAACGTATGTTACCTTGTGTTTAGGGCACACTATCAGTGCACCTCCCGGCAGCTATGCGCTGCAACATAGCACTTGGTGCCGCAATACTTAATGTTGCAGTGGGGTGAAAAAAGTAGTGCATACACTAAATTTTTTTCACTGCAACACAACACATGGTATTGCGGTACTACACATTGTGGTAAAAAAAGTAGTGCATGGTATTATGGTACCATGCTTTGCACTGCAGTGCACGGCTGCCGGGAGATACATTGGGGTGACATTCAAATGAATGCATCACCCCTAGCGCACGGTACCACACGCTAGGTGTGCTGTGTGGTTGCATGCGCTAAATGCACTGTAACATGCGCTTGTCGCAACACAATAGTGTAAACGTTCCTTTAGAGCTCTCTGTAGGCTCTGCCTACTCTCTGGCTTTACTTGCTGCATGCTTGTGCTGGGTCAGTAACTCTGAAGAGCAATGTTGGTCAGGCAGCTATGCATTGTCAGAAGAAGCTCAGCAATTGCAGCAAGGCAGGAAGAAGCATTTCAAGTGTGCTGACAGTTCTTTCCTGGAAAAAGACCACTTGGTTCCTGGAAAATTTGGAAAGGAATTTGTTTTTTCACAGATGTCCATGGGGACAATACATTCCAATAATAGAATAATTATGACTTTTCCTCCCTTCTGATGCTAGTAGATATAAACCTGGCTGGATGACATTTAGCTTGCTGAAGCCTGCATGGTGTGTGGATGCTAGCAGATGGGCCGCATAGTGTCATTGGTTGCTGGGACACAGGCAGGCCCATCATAACATTGCCACAGCATCATTGGCTGACTGGTGGCTGGAGCCACATTGCTGACCTGAGATAGCTCCAAAACCTCATACTGCAGAAATAAGAAATTCAAGACTTTACTTGCAGCATGCTTGTTCCAGCTCAGTAACGAACGTCCTGAAAGCAGTGGCAGCCCGGCAGATGGCATTTTCAGAAGATCAGCAAAGGCAGCTTTTGGTTTTCATTTCTTTGCTGGGTCACACAGTTGAAACAAAAATGATTGATTCAACCCCCACTGCAAATCAGGTTTATTGGCAAAATTTACAATGAAGAAATCAAACAAAAACAATTCAAATAGGTCAACACAATGAATGTTTCAAGTGGTTTCTCCAAATAAAACTGAAAATGTAACTTTTATTGACTTCTGCAGTGTCAATATTATTCAGACCCTTCATGGCGAGCATCTTTAGTAGTTAGTAGAGAACCCTTTTGCTATTATGACCTGCTATAAACGAGATGCATAGCCAGACACCAGCTTCTGGCAGCGTTCCTGAGGATCTCAGCCCATTTCTCATGAGCAATGGCCTCCAGTTCACTAATATTCCTGGGTTTGTGTGCTGCAACTGCCTTCTTCAAATCCCACCAGAGATTTTATTATGGGGTCAGGTGACTGTGATGGCCACTGTAAAATCTTCCAGCACTTCTGCAACCAAGCCTTGGTGGAATGCTTGGGATCATTGCCCTGTTGGAAGGTCCAATGACGCCTAAGCTTCAGCTTTCTCACAGACAACATGACATTTTCTCCTAGGATTACCGGATACTTCAATGAATCCATCTTGCCTTTCACATGCTATAGGTTTCCAGTGCCAGAGGATCCAAAGCAGCTTCAGAGCATCACCAAGTCACCAGGCAGGCAGAGTGTTCTTTTCAGCATATGCTTCATTCTTCTTCCTCTAGACATACCGTTGAACTATAGGTTCCAGTTTTGCTTCATCACTCCACAGAACATAATCCCAAAACTTGTGTGGCTTATTTATATGATTTTGAGCATATTGGAGCCGACTTTTCTTGTGCTTTTGGGTCAGTAGTGGTGTACAACTTGGGGTTCTGTCATGGAAACCTTCTGCATTTAGTACGCGCCTTACTGTGCAAACTGAAACCTCAGTGCCTGTTACCACCAAGTCTTGACTTCCAGTTCCGGCGCCTGATGTAGCGGACACGAAGTGAGGAGCTCCCGCACAGCCAGGACTAACCTGCATATAAAACCGACTCCAAAGTCACCTGCTGGATCTCTCCTGTCTGCTACATACCAAGGTGGACATGGACAAATTCCTGGCAAAACGGCGCACGGGACCCCGAGGTAAGGGGACACCCGTTCGAGGCAAGAGACCACAGACGCAGTTTAAAATGGCCGCCGTCTCGGAGAACCCGGATATTAGCGCCTCGTCGGAGGAAGAACTACCTGTCATGTCGGACCATGGATTGATAGCGGCAGAGGTGGCGGAGCTGCTGCGACCCTCAATCCAGGACGCGGTAAGCAAGGCAGTATCCAAGGGGATCCAATCCCTGCGACACGACCTACTAAACCAGGCCCAGAGGATCTCGGAGGCCGAGAACCGCATAGTGTCCTTGGAAGAGGGGGTGGAGGCATCCTCTTCTCAGCTACACACTAACACCCGCCAGGTGCAGTTCCTGTTGGATCGGGTAGATCATCTCGAGAACCGCTCGAGACGGAACAACATCAGAATCATAGGCCTACCAGAAACCTACCGTCCGTCGCAGATACCGAGCATCTGTACCACCAAGTCTTGCTTCAGGTCTTTTGCCATCACTCGAGGGTTCTTCTCAACCTGCCTTCTCAGAAATCTGGTTGCAGCCGTTGATAGCTTCCTTACTCTGCCCCATCCAGGTAATGTAACTACTGTTTCTTTAACTTCAAACTTGCGAACTACACTTCCAATGGTGTCTCTAAGAACATTCATTCATTGCCTTTGCTATCTTTTTGTATCTTACTGTATATACATAACACTCAACAAACCCCCAGCCAGTTCAGGTATTTCATGTGTTCTAGCTCAAGCACACCTGGTGAAATGAATGAAGCCCTTGATAAGTTGCATCAGGTGTGCTTGAGACAAGACCTGCAGATGTGTGCTCTTGTGAGGGATTCTACAGTATTCAGGGGGTTGAATAATATTGACACTGCAGAAGTCAATAAAAAATGCATTTTCTGTTGAATTTTGAGAAACCACTTGAAACATTCATTTTGTTGACCTATTTTAAGTGCTTTTGTTGGATTTCTTCATTGCAAACAGCTGAAAGTTTGTATATGTAGCCAAAAACCTGGTTAGGGGTTGACAGTGGCAGACCTAAGAAACAAAGGGCCGTGGTGCAAGATTTTGTCTGTCAGCCTGTCAGCCCATGGGACCAACCCTCTTCAATGGGGGCAGGGGACCAAGTCTCATTGGCCCTGGCCCCCTTAGTGCTGTACAGAGAACACTGAGCCAGTCATCAGTTTCTGCACCATAGGAGTTACACTCTAACCCCCCACAGTAGTCGCATATTATTATTATACATATATACTGTATATGTATAGCTCTGACATATACCACAGTGCTGTACAGAGAACACTGAGCCAATCATATCAGACTCTGCACCAAAGGAGCTTACACACTAATGTCCCCTCACAGTCACAGACTATTATTATTATTATACATGCTATAGCTCTGACATATACCACTATGCAGTACAGAAAACACTGAAACAGTAACAGCAGCCTTTGTAACAGAGCAGCTTACACTCTAATGCCCCCCCAAAGTCACACACTGTTATCACTAGGGAGGCACCAATACCTTTTTGTACAGACCGAGTTCGAGTACCGATACGTTTCCTCAAGTAATCGCCAATACTAATTACCGATACCTTTTTCTTAGTGTCATGTGACAGTTTTTCTAAAACAATACAGACTAATGATTAGGACCATGGTGCAGCATTAGGGCCTAGTTATAGCTGTGACCCTGGTAGTTCTGCCACTGACTCCAAGCTGTAGAGAAACTACAAATCTCAGCAATAGATTATACAACAATGCAGAATAATATATGAATGTGCTACTATGGGGTGCTGCTGGCCTGATATCTCAGACGGAGGGTCTCAGCAGGGGGAGATGTGGAGGGTTTCTCCGGGGCAGTGGGGGCCGATGTGCGGGTGGCAGAATTGCTGTACACAGGTGCTGCTGTGGTTCCCCAGAAGGCTGCCGCGAGGTCCCCAGCAACTGCGGGACATTATGGAAGTCCCCTGGGAATTGAATAATTCTGTATGTAACAATGTATGTTCCCCTGCACATGCACTGTGTTGAGGCCACGTTTATTAAGTGAGAAATAATCAGTTTGCTCTTCATTTGCTATTAGCAGTCTTTGGGATCAGTTCCCATAAAGTGCATTAGCAATCTGCTCCTGTGAACTGCATATGGATTCCATGTTCTTTAATGGGAAATCTGGACCACAGCTCACCATACACATTACAGTAAGATTTGGCACCCGGCCTGCACAGTATAAATGGAATTTGTTGCCCATGTTATTAATAGGAAGGAGACTAGAAGGCTGCCATTTTATAAAGTGATTGTAGATTTTTTTAAGGATCTATGGGCACCTTCGTAGTGTTTGGACCTGAAAGGATATACAACTCGAATGCATATGCCGTCCCATTACAAGTCTATTGGAGATTGTACAATCAAATTGTAACATGTATGGCATTCTTAACATTTGTTGTATTCTGAATATGGCAAATAATAAGGCCACTGTTTTTGACATTCACTGTAAATGGGGAATCATTGGTCTCCTTTGGGCTCTAACATTTATACACTTCAAGCGCTCTGCAAACCAATGTTTTGGCATTGACTTCCAAATTCACAATGATCTCTGGAACCTGAGATGCTTACATTTGCCTGCAATGTACAGGAGGAATGGTGGTGAATATCCAGCTAATC